CTTCAGCCAACACGGGAGCGCTGGACGCTATGGCACCGACAGCTATGTTGGGGTACTTCTCCCTGAACCAGGCGGCCAATGATCCGGCATAAGAGCCCCCAAACACAACCACTTTGCCTGAAAGTGACAACTTTTTGGTCAAATACTGTATGAAGTCCGCCGTGTCGGCCAACGCCTGTTCACTGGACAGGTATTTCAGGTGTTCAACGGTTGTGTCGTTGAAAGGTTGGGACTCTCCGTAGTACCGGTGCTCTAATGTTGCCATAAACGCGTTGAATTGTTTGGCACTTTTCACTATAAAACTAGCGCTACTGGTCATGAACTCGAGAGGGGCGGTTCCCTCACCCCCTATCATCACAAATACCGGTCCACCAGTTTTGTAGTGCGAATCTTCGGTGTAATACAGCTATTAAATAGTATAATAAAAATATTAGTTTCTAACCTTGGTTGTTGTAATAAGATTACTTAATTATTTATTAGGATATTATAAAAATATTATACTTTATTTATACAAATTCCTATTTATTATAATCTATGAATTAATTTTAGTTTATAATTATAAGAATATTATTTAATTGTACACAAAATTAATATAAAATTTAACAAAGGTGATTTGAAACCTGTTTGAAAGTACGGTTATCGTGATCGTCAAAATGGTTGAGTTTCTGGTCATAGTATTGGGGTTTGATTTCCTTAAGCACTTCATCCGGATCAGGAACGGGTGGTCTAACCATACCATACTTGTCGTTGGGTCGACCCCTAAACATAGTCAGTCTATTTGTAAGTTCTCCATTCACACAGCAATTTAGAAAAGTTACAATAAATATAATATAATGATTCATTTTAATTGTGTTTAATTTAATAAAATTGTACAAAATTAATTTCTTTGGCTTTAATATTTAAACTCTTTATATAGTGATCACAGTATAATCAAAATTTATTATCAAGATTTACAGTACTTTAAGATCACTCTTAATTTTTAGAATTATATAGATAAATTCCTAATATTTAGTGAACATGTTATTTGTATTTTAAGAAAGGTACAAGTGAAATTTATATAAGAACTATTGATCAATAATAATTCAATAACTATTATAACGTACAAATCATATGAGAATATACAGTAATTATGATACATCATCATTAATGTGATAGGAGGGTAGAAAATATATTTTTGATAATTAACTTACAACTACTGATAAAAATTATTAGAATTGAGCCTAGTAAACATAAATCTTAATTATAAAATTAAATATACTATATAAATTGATTAGTATAATATATTAGTGATTACAACACCTGCTATAGTATGGTATGTTCGTGAGGGTATGGTTGACATTGAATGTTATACCACTCTAATATTGGTAAATTTTAAACATGGTTTACTAAATTATCTCATTAAGTACACACTTTTGCAGTTCACATTATGGTATGGTTGTAATAGATTCACATTTTAATCTCAATAAAATATAGATAAATAACTTTTTGTTTAATTTTAAATGCAATAAAGGATAATTTAATGTGAAACTTTTCCTAATTTTGTAGTTTTATATTATAAGGGTTTTTGGGTTCCCACGAGTTTCTCGAAATAGGGCTTCTCTATAGAAAAACACTGAGGGTTCGGGTTTCAAAAATTGGTCTAACTTTGGACTCTAATAGTAAGTACTCGTGAGTTACTCGTAATAAATATGTTTATTAAGTATAATGCTATCAAACAATACAATTATTTCAGATATTCTTGCAATTCAT